CTAGGGATGAACGACTTAGTGCCAATGGCCATTTTGCAGACACAGCAACAGAAGCAGTTCTCATGCCATTGACGTGTCTTGTATTCCATTTTTTTGGTGCCTGCAAATAAACGAACAAAGGAAGAGAAATAAATAACTTTATTTTTATATGTACATTTTTATTTATTGATTTTATTAAAAACAAGTGTTTGATAATGTGAAAATTGAGGTTCGTTAAATTTTAGTTAAAAATTGTTCCATCGCCCGCCTTTCAATAAATCTGATTGCATACTTTTCAATGGCGCTACATCGTACACCTCGTACCACTCACAGACAGGTGAAATGAATGAAAAATAATCTTTTTTTTTGTGTAACTGCTATTGAAGGTCAACATTAAATTCTATTTGATTTTGTTTAGTGGCAGTGGTGATGGCAAATAGTAGATATTGCTTTGTTTTTGGTGCCTTAAAATGTATTTTATACGAGTATATCCAATTCAGTTTTACTTTCTCCAACTACTTGTCACCACATTAAAGGGCAGACATGCAAACATGCAACCAATATTTGCAGTTGGTTACAGCCAATATGAATTTTGATTGTGTTACTGAGGTATGCTAAGCATTTTTTTCTATTTTGGTTAAACAAAAGAAATTTATAAGGTTTTGACATGCAACTAAGGCTCATACAACCCTTTTAGGTCTTTTGTCTTTTTTGTGATTTTTCGTTTGCTTTCCTTTATGCCCACTGACATTGTGCTGGTGGCACAGTAACAGTATACACATAACCAATAATCATCAATGAGTTGTAATAATACATAGTACATACCTACATCGTACTCGAAGTAACTCTGCAACAAATAGGCCTAATATCCAACGGCAAAAAAAAATATAAATACATATTTTTTTTTTATCTTTATTCTAGTCTTAGTAATTATATTTAGTTTTTATTTAATTTTACTTTATTCAATTAAATATTATTTTATTTTTATTTTAGCATTCGTCGTATTTAATTTATATATTGTTTCGTTTTCATTTTATTTATTTATTGATTATTTGTACTTTGGGTTTTATATTAATCGATTTTACTTTATTCTAATTTATTTTAATAAATTTTTTATATTTTTTTAATTTTAATAAATGTTTTTATTTTAATATATTTTTTTTATTTTAGTGTTATTAAATTTTCATTTTTCGTTTTCGTTTTCATTAAACTAAATATTCTTATTTTATTTTAGTTTTATTTTAAAACTAGTATATTTTTATTTTTATTCACATTTTAATTTAATATATTTTTTATTTTATTCCTATTTTATATATATTTTTTATTTTAATAATTTATTTTTGTTTTGTCTTTATTTTATTTTGTTTAGTTATGAATATTTTTTATTTTATTTTATTTTAATACACATATTTCTTATTTTATTCTATTTTATTTTATTTTATTTTATTTTATTTTAATTTATTTTATTTTATTTTATTTTATTTTATTTTATTTTATTTTATTTTATTTTATTTTATTTTATTTTATTTTATTTTATTTTATTTTGTTTTATTTTTATTTGACTTTTTTCATAAATTTTCAGTAAATTTTTTGTTTGTATTTAATTTTATTTTATTTATACAAAGTATCTATTTTCTTTTGATTTTATTAAATTAATTTATTTAGTTAATTTTAGTTTTAAATAGATAAATTTATTTTATGTTTACTTTTATGCCGGATTTATATGAAAAAAAAAATGTATTTAAAATTTGTTTATTACCACATGACATTTGTGGTAGACAATTTTTGTAAATTTTGCCATTTGAATGCCTAGTGGTAAATTGGCATTACTTTCTATATTTTGGCAGTAAAATGAGAAGCGAGGACGAGAACTACTGCAGGGTTAATGCACTTGCTTGTAATATATGTGCATATGTTATATTTTATGATAATACACCATTAATATTTCTGTGCCATAACAATGTCAACAAATTTGCTAAACAAAATTGCGAGAAATTAATAGTGTTTGAAAACATATAGTAATCTTTCACCCGTACATACTCAGTCATGAAAAATAACATAAAATGACTTAGCAAGTTCATAAAGACTTAAAGTTCAGTAGCTTTTTTTAAACAACTAAATAAGTACATATGTACGTAAATAACTATTTTATTGGAGATCATACATAAAATAAATGATGATGGAAGATCGTTGAATAAATACTATAGTTAGATTGTGTTGCTACCATTAAGTTTAAGTCTAATGTCTGCACTTTGCATTAAAATAGGTCACTTGGTGTTTAGGTGCAATATGTTGATCTAAAAACATACATACATACATATGTAAGTGGAAAGTTTTTGGCCCTTATTAAGAGCTGCATTCGATTTTCGATCTTCGCTGGCTATCGATGATCGAAGATCGAAAGTGAAATTCGTATTATGAGCTATGCAAGCGTGTCGAAATTTTCGTTGAGTATCGAATTTTCTGTCGAACAGAATTTTGCTTTCGATGGTGTAGCGAAGTGTTAGAAAATTGTGAAAAATTTATGATTTTGTATATGTTTTCTTACATTTTGGCGGCTAGACACTAATTTTAAACAATTTTTATTAATTTCATGCAGTTCTAACATCGTGAATACTAAACACAAGCTCGAAAAGCTGGTTTTACTTGTGAAAGAAAATCCCAATACTCTGTTGGCGCGATCTCTGAGAACAAAATCGGAGCGCTGTTGATAGTTTTAAAATATTTTAAATAGATTTGGCTCACAAACGGTTCTATAGATGGTCGGAACTTTTTAATGAATCTGTAGACAAATTTCTTAAATATATTTTATATCAAAATATATTCGAAAGACTAATAAACTTAAACTCTCTTAAACATTTGCTACTCCTGGCCAGTTTACTAAGCTCTCATCCTCTGACAAATCGTTGAACCAGAACTCGTTGTACTCATTTTACCACGTTTTTATAAACTTGCTTTCTTTTTTACTTCATTTTAATTAGAACAAATTTACATAAATATGTATAAGCACACTATTTGGTTTGCTCGATTTGTAAACATAGCTTCTCAGCGGTGAAAAATATACTATTGTGAACAACCTAAACGAGCGAAATTCACAATAGCGCTATTCTTCATCGAATGAGCGCCATAATACCAAATGAAAATTCGTTCGCTCAGCACTTTCGACCACAGTCGAAAATCGAATGCAACTCATAATAGGGGCCTTTATGTATATGGGGCGTTCCATACCAAAACGGACGGGGTTCACACTTCATGTGTCTGATTTGTTTCAAATTTTTAGGGTTGATGCATAAACATAAATAATAAACAAAAGTGAAATTTGAGCTTGATTAATACATTTTTATAAACTTTACAGCACAAAAACACAAACAAATCGATTTAATAGTTTTCCAAATATCCCGAGAACGGGACAAGGAAAAAATTGGGAAAAAATCACAATACCCACAAAATTCTCTATGAAAAGAAATATTTATAATTTTTTTTCTTGAAAAATTTTTCACAAAATAAAAAAAAATTTACAAAAATCTCAATGGTAGCTCTGAGTNCACAATACCCACAAAATTCTCTATGAAAAGAAATATTTATAATTTTTTTTCTTGAAAAATTTTTCACAAAATAAAAAAAAATTTACAAAAATCTCAATGGTAGCTCTGAGTTTGCGCAATATTTAAGTATAGTATTATGGGGTGCACTCTGCAATAATTTGAGTTATGAGTTTTTTTTACATCGAAGTTGGGTAAAATGAGTACATTACGAATTAAAAAATTTTGTAAATGTTTTTTTTAGATTTTAGTATAATAAAGTGGAAGTTTTAAGCTACCGCAAAATTGCGTTGATTTTTAATATTTTTTATGTTAACGGCTTTTTGCACTTTTTTCTTATTGAAGGAAATGAGTAAACCCGTTTTCTAAGAAAATCAATCGGTTAAAACTTGCACTTTGTTATACTAAAATTTAATGAGCTACAAAACTGCATACTCAAAAAGATTTAAAAAATTTTTAATTTTGTAATGTACTCATTTTACTCAACTTCGGTGTAAAAAAAAAATCATAACTCAAATTATTGTAGAGTGCACCCCATAATACAATACTTAAATATTGCGCAATACTCAGAGCTACCATGTGTTTTTTTTTAATTTTGTTTGACACATTATTGCAATAGTTATGCACACTTATCGAAGTGGTATCCAAACCAAATTTGACAAGGGACGACGGAAAATTGTTCCACACTACGTTCTTGTTAGTTTTGGATCGTATTCGTTTTTTTATTTGCACTTCCAATCGTTTTGTATTTCGATTTATGGAAATTTATGTGGATCTCCCATTTATTCCACAGCCAAGCACTTAGCAAATGTGTGAAGCGTCAATTTTTTTGACTTTCAACCGAAAAATATACAATATTTATATATTTATAATATACAATTATTATATTATAGTTTAGTGGCAAATTATGGCAAATTTTCACAAATTTCAACAGCACTTAAAAAATAAACACTTGCCCACACACAGATAGATGTATGTATGCATTTACATTAGGCATATGACTTTTTTAAAATAAAATATACCTATGAGGAGACGATGAGGAATGATAAAAAACCAACAAAAATAAGTTTTTTTGTAAAAATTTGCTACGAAAAGTTCTCGTAGGTATCTTCGAGAAAGAAAATATTTGTACTGAAAAAGGTGCATACGTACATACATATCGCACACCTAGTGTTAGATACACATGCAATTAATACAAAAACAGGTATAAGAGTAGTTTTTAAGTTAATGTATACAATCATGAAGAAAAAAATATTTCGATTAACTGGATGTCGGTCCTATGAATTGGTTTATCCAAAAAAATCGTCCAAATATTTTTTTTGAGTTGATCGCACAGGTTTGCGATATGTACATATGTATATGTATATGGAAAGTTCCATGTCAAGCGAATTTTGACTGTGCGCAAAAACCGGGTTTTAAAATTTAATTTTTTTTTCGTTCGGTTGACTTGAAAGATATGAAAATTCCATAAATTCCGTAAATTTATAGATAAATAGAAAATTCCATGTTTACCGAAACAACAAAAAAAAATTAAAAAATAAGAAATGTTAGAAACAAAATTTTGATCGCATGCCTACAA